TCATGCGAAACAAACGCCCAGTGCACGCTGGTGTCGGCTTGTCTGCTTGAACAGTGCCAGTGCGACACGCGCCCCTTTGAAGCGGGCGCAACGTACGGGCTGTACCTTTGCTCCTCCTTTGGCAACACGTCATTCACAGGAGCAGACCTCACGTGCGGCGACACAACTGCGGAGCTCACGCCAGGCGCCGTCACCATTGAAAGCGACGGCCTTGTTCGCTTCGATATTGCCCACGCCGATCCAGACACGCTGCACGCATTCTACTTCAGGCGCTCAGACATTGCAGGTCAGCACATGTGCTTGGCAGCTGAATGCGTGTGTGTGTGTGTGTGTGTGTGTGTGTGTGTGTGTGTGTGTGTGTGTGCGTGCGTGTGTCTCCGTGTGTGTGTGTGTGTGTGTGTCTGTGTGCGTACGCATGCAAGCGTGCCTGTATATCCATCTATCCATCTGTATATGCGCAAGCGTGTCGTATCTCGTGTGTGCTCCCAGCGCTGTCCACTTCCGCATCTCACCCTCCACCACCACCACCACCACCACCACCACCACCACCACCACCACCACTAGATGCTGAACTGCTGGGCCAAGCGGTGACGGATAGCAGAGGGATGTTCATGTCCATCACGATTTACGACGCCAACCGCCCCATTGACCTTGATCCCCGCACAACGACCGTCAGCCCCGTCCGTCTGTCCGACACCACAGACGGCCAGCTCTTCGTCTACTCCCGCGGCCGCTACAGGTGCGCGCTGGATGTGTAGTTTTGTGTGTGTGATGTGTAGTTTTGTGTGTGTGTGTGTGTGTGTGTGTGTGTGTGTGTGTGTGTGTGTGTGTGTGTATGTATGTGTGTGTGTGTGTTCGTGTTCATGTGTGTGCGTATATTATGTCCTTGTTCATGTGTAAATGGTTTTGCCCTTTTTGTGTATGTGTGTGTGTGAATGTGAATGTGATAGTGATAGTGATAGTGATAGTGATTGTATGGCTGTGGATCTGACCGCTGGCGCGTCTGTTTCCGTGCAATGAACACAACTCCCTTATGACTCACAATCATTCTCACCGTTTCGTCCTCTGCACCATTTGAACTCGCCCCCCTCTACATGTCCACTCGACTAGAATGTCAGCTGGTCGTTTCCGTCGAAGTGGTGGCGGTGGTGGTGGTGGCGGCGGTGGCGGCGGTGGCACGTATTGCTACAACACAGACACGGCCATCAACTATGGAACGCCAGAGTGCTCTGGGGGAGAGGACGGGCAGTTCCTCAACGCAGAGGTGTCCCCCGCGTCATCCGATGTGCTGCTCATCAGCTGCGACATTGATGGCCGCGCGTGCTACACCGTTAACAGCGATGATGACGATGATGCCAGTGGCAGTGACATGAACAACAACAGCACCGCCAGCGGGAACCACACCGTCTTTGACAGCGTGTGCTTCAATCAGACCGCTGAGGCAGAGTGCGTCATGCACCCAGAGTGTCGGTGGGGTTCATGCCATGTCAGCAACGACATGTGTCGCCTGTTCCAGGAAGAAAACGACTGCGTTGCCGGCATGTGGAGTGACGCCTATGGTGACTACACGTGCGCGTGGGACGGCGACCATTGCTACACCACCAACCACGTCTGTGCCGGCCAATCCAACGACACGTGTGCGCAGATGGACGACGTGTGTCACTTTGACGCGTTCTGCTACCCGACCCACAACAATGGAAGCAATCCAGACTGCAATTCGCACTGCAGTGCACAACTGGACGACTGCGCCGCTTCACCAGCGTGTGCCGCTGCGTACGCGTGTGCAAACGACACCGTCGACGCCATGTGCCCAAACAGCCCCTCCTGGTCGTGTGTGCAGAACTGCAGCACGGCGCTGTTTGACGACGCCTATCGCCTCTTCGTCGCTGTTGCCGACTGCCTGCTGCGCTGCTCCCCCATGGCCGTTCCTGACCCTTCGCAGCCGTGCGGGGGCGTTCCGGACGACTGCATCATCTTTCAGGACAGCTTCTGCGCCGAAACCACAGATGCCCGCGCCAACTTTTCAGACTTTTACACGCAACCCGCGCTCGCGCTGTTGTCCAACACTATGGACAACTCCAGACAGCGAGGGGACGACGGTACTGGCATTGCTGGCGACGGCGATGGCACAGGTGCATTGGCCTGGCCGCAGGTCGACTACAGCCCAGCCAACACGACCCTGGATCACTACTATCTCGGTGGCCTGTGCATCGCGCGCCCGGCCTTTGCCGTTCTCAGGCAGCCGCTGCCACCGTCACCATCGACGGCAGTGACAGAGATGCACACGTCTGGCAACGACACTGTCGCTGTCGTCAGCGTGGATGATGAGGTGCGGATCGAGGTGAGCTTCTTCGTGCCGGCAACGCCATACGCCCGCGCAGATGTGGCCGTTTTGGCCACTTCCCAGGACGGTCAGGAGGTGATGGCTGGCTGCATCCCAGCACCCAGCAACGCAACCGCCACTGCTGCAGCCGATGGTGGTGATGACGATGATGCTGCTGTGGGCACTTCAGCGAACACAACTGTTGGCTGCCGACTTTTCGTCCGCACAACCACCAACGTCACTAGCGCCGACGCCACAGCCAGCGCTTTTGGTGATGACGTGTGGTTTGTGGGCAACAGCGTGTCTACCATTGCCTCTGACACGCCGCACACGCTCGAGGTGCTGCTGTCGTCCGCATATGTCATCCTGTCGCTGCGCGCACCAACCATCAGCAGCACGGGCGACTATGTCGGCGACCAGCAGCTGCAGCGCGAGTTTGTTGAGCTCCCGTTTGTGGTGCCGCAGAACTGGACCCACGTCGGGCTGGCCCTTGCCGCTGTTGGCACCTACGACAACGCAACGACAACGATAGCAACAGCAGCAAGTGGCACCGCGACAAGCCCGTCGGGAACAGAGTCCACGGCCATCACGTGCGTGTCATCGCTGCGAATTGGGCAGCAGCGGTGCGACGAGCGCTGCTCCCACCTCAGCGAACGCACCTGCGGTGCTGACAACAGCGACTGCACGTGGGACGCTGATGCCCAAGTGTGCGTGTCATCGGAGCCCTGTCCATTCTGGGTGGTGCCCGGCTCGCCCTGCATCGCCGAGGAATGCCAAAGCGCAGGAGATGGTGAGTGGCGGGGTTTGTGAGTGTGTGGGTGTGTGGGTGTGTGGGTGTGTGGGTGTGTGCGCACGCGCTCACGTGTGCGTGTTTGTTTGCTTGCTTGCTTGCTTGCTTGCTTGCTTGCTTGCTTGCTTGCTTGCTTGCTTGCTTGCTTGCTTGCTTGCTTGCTTGCTTGCTTGCTTGCTTGCTTGCTTGCTTGCTTGCTTGCTTGCTTGCTTGCTTGCTTGCTTGCTTGGTGTTCGTTCATTTGTTTGTTCGTTCGTTTGTTTGTGTTTCCGCACACTCTCGTCCTTCGTAGTATCCCTCATCTTTCACACACACGCACACATACACACGCACAATGTCTCTTCGTCATAGGCGAGCCGTCGCAAGAGTGCTGTCTGGTCGGTGCTGAGCACTGCACCAACTACCCTGCTGACCCGGGCTGTCGCTGTGATGGCCCCATCGTGTTCTACTGCGGTGACATCGGCCGCATGCACTGCACCAATGACACGACCACAACGACCACAACGACCACAACTATGCCAGCAATGTTGACAACATCCACAACAACCACCACATCCACGACAACAACCACCACATCCACAACAACGACCACGTCAACGACAACGACCACCACCACCACCACCACCGCGACAATAACGACCACGACAAGCGCAACAAGCACCACTCGAGCCTCAACAACGAACCCCACAAAGACCACGGTGCCAGAACTCCTGTGCACAAAAGCGACCAGACCGTTTGTGGACGATGCGGCCACCTCCTTCAAGTGTCGCCCTGACGCAACCCACGTCACGCTTGCAGGCAAATTCAGTGACTATGACGACCCAACACACGTGCAGGTGCGGTGCACGTTCTGGCTGCAGAAGCTGGAAGGCGGATTTGACTGCAACTGGCACGGCTGCTACGAGAGAGGAACGCTGCTGTCGAAGAACGACGTGCGCTGCAGGCTGCCGTCACAGCTTGCATCATTCAAGCCCCCGTTTCTGCGGGTGTCTGTGTGGGTGTTCCACGACAGCAACGTGGACGACAGGTCTAACACGAACTGCTTCAGCCGCACGGACACATGGGAAACGGGCACGCACGCAGTGATTGACACCACGTGCTTCTCAAGCGTGTCACCCGGCACGGGCAGCACACCGCTGCCTCCCGCCCCCATGACGCAGGTTCCCTTGTCCACGTGCGAGTTCGAACCCCTCAAGATTGAGGCTGTCACGCGTTCGTGCGGCGACCATTTCGCTGCTGCCACCGTCACGCTGCAGGAAGCGTTTGCGTTCACACCTCCAACGGGTGTCAACGCCGTGCTCCCAGCAGCGGTTGCAGCTGCCGGTGGCATGGGTGACGATGATGGTGGTGATGGTGACACGGATGGAATGCTGGCTGGCGGCCCGGGCCAGGACGGCGAAGCGCTGCTGCCGCTGTACTGCCTGTTCTGGGCGGTGGACACAGCAGGGCAGGCACCGACGCTCATGTGCGACCCGCGCACGTCCATGTGCGTTTCGCAAGCAATGTTCACCACCCGCGACCACACACAGGTGCAGTGCTTCATCCCCTCGTTCATCTCCATCGACCCGAACACGCAGGCGCTGGCTGTCACGGTGGAGACCCTTCCTGTTCTCATTCGCGACTGCAGCCTTGACCTTGACCCCAGGGCGCCTGGCCTCACGCGACCCTCCTCCTACTTCACGGAGGGCGAGTACGCGCTGTCTGTGGACCGTGCGGACGAGTGTGTGGCGTCGGACTGCCCGTTTGAGGCTGCTCCCGAGTCGCCGTGCATCTCGCCATCGTGCAGCGTCGTCAGCGAGGATGGCACGGTCGACAGCGGCTGCTGCCGGCTTGTTGATCGATACTGCAACCTGGCAACGAGACCCGACTTTGCGTGCTCGTGTGCGTCTGTTGCAGACATTGGCTGCCCGTACACGCCGTGCTTTGCGCCCGTTATTGGCGGCACGCCGCTGCTCCGGCTCAACAGCACCAACGCCACCACCACGATTACGGCAACCGTGGATGATGGTACCAACACCACCACGTCCACGCTCATCTCCTCGGCCACTGCGCTCTGCAATCAGGGCATTGGCTCTGTGGTGGTGTACTTTGATGCGGCCTTTGAACTTGTGGCGTCAGCCCGCAATAAGCACATGTTCGTGACTGCACTCATCGTCACCGTTGAGAGCAAGGGCATTCCTTCCGACACCATTTCCTGCGTCCACGTCGGCCGGGGTCAGTATTACGTGTGTGTGTGTGTGTGTGTGTGTGTGTGTGTGTGTGTGTGTGTGTGTGTGTGTGTGTGTGTGTGTGTGTGTGTGTGTTTGGGTGATTGCCGCTGTACGTCTGTCTGTCTTCGATTGCCTCTGTGCCTGCGCGTGTCTTAACCTGTGCCCCACTCGCCTCGGTTTGGTTTTTCTCATGCGACTGCTTATCCCTTCCTCCCTGCTTGCCCCTCACTCGCCCCCCTCTCGTCTGCAAACGTGCATGCTGGCACACAGGCCGCCGCGAAACCATTGCAGCCACGGTGTTCTTCACCAACGAGACGAGCCAGGCGGTCATGCAGCAAGCTGTCGACAACAACGAGGTGGCCTTCTCCCTCGGCGGCCACGAGTACACGGGCCAGAGCACGGAGCCCTCAGCAAGCCAGGCAGTGCCGGCCGCAAGCGTGGGCGCTGGTGTTGGCGTGTTTGTTGCCCTGGTGCTGCTTGTCGCCCTGATGGTGAAGCGGAGAAAGCAGCAGAAGCGCCGGCACAGCTCCATGTACGTGCAGCGCGAGCTAAGGGGTGACGGGTACGATGGCGACAATGACCATGGCGACCACGCTGGCAACGCCGCCTTTAATGACGGCCTTGACGATGGACAGCCGGCAACCAAACGTGCGCACGCAGAGGCCCCGGCACCGGCACCAGCAGCATTTGTCGCACCGCCCTGGGTCGAGGACGACTCTCCGTTTACGGACGACATTGAGATGCAACACATGGGCTTGACCATGGTGCAGCAACAGCAGCAGCAGCAGCAGCAAGCACAGCACGACGCTGAAGCGTCGAACAAGCTGGCCGAGTCCATCATGAAAGGCATCGGCATGTCCTCACAGCCCATGTGGATGCCCGAGGACGAGGCGGTGTTCCACAGCAACAGCAGCGGTCGCATATCCCCCACAACGGCCGGCGCACACGCGCAGGGCCACCGCCTGGCGGGCAGCGCGGACAGCGGCGACCCGGATGCCGATCTCACGCTGCCGGAGGGCACGGACCTGGCGGAGCTGCTGCTTGGCAGTGACGGGTCGCCTGCACCACCGAACGTGATGCTCGATGACGCTTTCTTTGAGGACGCCAACGATGCTGCCGCTCCTGCTGACAGCGACCACCCGAGCGCGGGTCTCGACTTTGATGACATGCAGCAGGGGCAGCGGGAACAGGAGCAGGAGCAGGCGTCCCCAGCCACCGACACGTCGGCCGTGACAATGCTGGACACGATGCTTGCCTCACACACGCCATCGTCCCGCACGCAGACGCCGACGGGCTCAACTGGGGTGAGCAACAAGGCTGCGTCGTCATCCATCAACCAGACCCCTTCCCCCGCGCTCTCCTCGCAACTGCACGAGCAGGAAATGGAGGAACTGGACCCAGCGGCAGCAAACTTTGCGCCCGGCACGACCATGGCAACGGCCTCTGTGCTGAATGCAATGGATGCGCTGTGGTCGTCGCTGGCGCCGGCTGACGAGCTGTTGCCTGCAAGCACGCTGCTTGCTGCTCCCGTGGCCGCGGCATTGTACAGCCAGCGACAATCAGGAACACAGCAGCAGCATGCCCCAACCGATGCGCCCAACTCGCAGCCGTTCCAGGGCATGCAGCAGGCCGCCAGCACACTTGGCTTTGGAGGCCGCAGGCTTTCGGAGGAGTCATCGTTTGGCTTCCCAACGGGTGGGCCGTTCAACAACAGTGGGACGGGGCTACCAGCAACGCCGCTGGCACCGTCAGCAGCGCCGGTGCCGACCGACATGTCCATGCACGGCGCGCCGCTCGCACCATCATCCTCGCTGTTTGATGTGTCCAGCGCCCTTGATGCCGGCAGTGGTGGCAGTGGAGATGTTCTTGGCAGTGCCGATGCGGCGTGGTACATCACATCGGTGCGTGCGCATGAAGTGTGCACGGCAATGAGCACAACGCCCCTGCATGTAGCCGCTGCCGTTGGCGACAGGGTGGCTGTGCGTGCGATGGTGGCTGCGCTGCAGGACGGTGTGCGCAACCGCCACGTCAGCAGCAGTCGCAACAGCAGCTACCGTGGCAGTCGCAACAGCAGCTACCGTGGCAGTCGCTTTGGGAGCACCGGGCGCAGGCGGAGCGGCGCGGGCATCACTGGCAGCGCCAGCAGCACCAGCAACGATGGCGGTAATGGCCATGTGAGTGGTGTCGGTGGTGTCGGTGGTGCCGGTGGCAACAGTGCATCAAGCGAGGATGTGCTGCGGCAATGGACAGATGAGGTGGTGGCTCAGGCCATGCAGCCCCAGTCTGGGCGCAGCAGCCTGTCGCGGACGTCAGCGAAACAGCGCACACCGCTGTCTGCCGTCTTTGGGCCCACCTCGACGCAGCGGTCGCACTCCTCCCCGTCATCTGCACCGGTGGCGTCGTCGCCTGCGTTTCTGCTGCCGCCGTCCATCTCGCCGGCGTCCTCAACCTCGGGCCTGGCACGGACCATCACGGACGCAAAGTCGCCCACAAGCAGCGCCGGCAGGCGGCGGAAGCGCTCGATGGACACGGCGGTGCCCACGACGCTGCTGCGGCACCCGGCCGACCTCAGGGACGAGCTGGGACGCACGCCGCTCATGTTTGCCGCCAACTGCGGGCAGGCGGCGTGCGTGGAGGTGCTGTTGGAGGTGGGCGCGCAGCCAGACGCCGTGGACACGAGCGAGCGCACGCCCCTGCACCACGCGTGCCTTGGCGGCGGGGATGTTGACGCGGACGGAGTCATTGGGCGGCTGTGCGCGGCGTCGCCTGAGACGGCATCGCGGCTGGACGTGAATGGCCAGTCGCCACAGCACGCAGCGTGCCTGGTTGGAAACACGCGCGCGCTCGAGGCCATGTGGCGAAACGGCGCCGAGGTGGATGTGCAGGACGACGGCGGGGCAACGCTGCTGCACGTGGCCGTGCGCCGCGAAGACGTTGTGGTGATGCACAGCGTGATTGCGGCGGCCGCACACGCCATGGGCTCCAGCGATGCCCTGGTGAACTTTGTTGACGAGGCAGGCAACACGCCGCTGCACTGGGCGGCGCAGCTTGACTGGCAGGACGGCGTGGAGGCACTCCTGCAGCACGGTGCACAGGTGACGCACGCCAACAAGCGCGGGCTGACGGCGCTGCATCTTGCTGTTCGCGAAGGCAGCGCGCGCGCCGTTGAAACGCTGCTGTGCTCGTCTGAGGTGCACGTGCGGCAAATCAGGCAGACACTGGACACGCCGGTTCCCTCGGGCGAAACGGTGCTGGCGTTTGCGCAGCGCGTCAGTGTGGACGAGGTGGTGGCGCTGCTCGTGCGTGTTGCGGACGAGCATGACACGACGTTTGGGCTGTCGGACGGCGAGTGGGAACAGCTGCGCGCGGCTGTAGGCCCAGCGCCCAACACCCACGCCAGCAGCAGCGGTGCTGGTGGTGGGCACGGCAGCGTCAGTGGCAATGCAGCCAGCCCAACCTCCTCTGACAAGAGCGCACAGAGCAATCGCACGGGCAAGTCGCTGTCAAGCGGTGTGCCCGCGATCTCTCCGCGCAGCAACGCCAGCAACAGCGAGAGTTCCACCACAGGCACCAGCACCGCCACGAACGGCAGTGGGCAAAGGGGAAAGCCAGGTGCTGCAAAGAATGGTGGAAACCGCAGCCGGGGAAGCAACACCAGTCGTGGTCGTGGTCGTGGCCGTAATGGCGACGATGGTGATGCTGGTAATGGTGGCGATGGTGGTCAGAGCAAGCGACGCACGCGCGTGTGGACAGAGGAGCGCCGGGAGAAGAACAAGCGGGACTGCCGCCTCCGCCGCCAGCGCAAGAAAGAGGAGCAAGCGCGCCTGGAGCAGCGTGTGAAAGGTCTGGAGAACGAGCACGTAGTTGTGTCTTCCATTCTCGAGAAACTGCGAGCTGAACGTGACGCCTTGCTGGAACACGCGGCCACATGACATGAACCGTGTGAAGTTGGAGAGGGCGGGTTGTAGTTGAGCGTAAGTGTGTGTGTGTGTGTGTGTGTGTGTGTGTGTGTGTGTGTGTGTGTGTGTGTGTGTGTGTGTGTGTGTGGCTGTATCTGTCTGAGCAGTTTGTCTTTCCTGACGTGCGTGCTCATAAGCATGTATGCAATTGTGTTAACTTGACTTGCTTTTCGTTTTTGTTTTGTGGCATACGAACTGCCCGTCACTGTATTTGAGCGCAACGGCAGCTTCGCACTTGCTTCACGTGTGAGGTGGCTGTACCACCGCCAAGAGTGGCCGCGCATGCACCCAACAACATGTGTGCACGGGGTCCCTCTGGGTCTGAATTACATGATGTCATAACGGACGCCACGGCCAATCAAACATATGTGTCTGTGGAGGATTGCGGGTGGGAGGGGAGGTGCGCAACAGCACATGTGTGCGCAGAAGGCACACACTCACATAGAGAGAGAGAGAGAGTATGTGTGTTGTGAGTATGAGTGTGAGTGTGAGTGTAAACACACACACACACGCACGCACACACACGCACACACGCACACACACGCGCGCGCGCACACACTCATACACTCAGATGGCATCGCCCCATGTGCCACCAAGGTTAAAGGCATACGACACCCTGTGCTCGCGCGTGTTGGAGCCCTGTACCACCTGGTGCTGCAACCAGCTCGGAAACACAATGAGGTCACCCTCTCGCGGATGGAAGCCGGCCTTTGTCGGCATGGGCGCGCTGATGCGATCAGAGACAGCGAGGGTGCGCGGGTCCTGAAACACAATGTGGCCGGCACCTTCGGGGACCTTGGAGTAGTACACGGCGCTCAAGGCGTTGTTCTGGTGCACGTGCTGTGCGTGCGTGCTCGCGCCAATGTGCACCGTGGCCCAGGCAAACAGGTCCATCTCGCGCGTGTCCATTTGCCGGCCCATGCAATGCAGCGTCGCGCTCATGTACTTTCGGATGAGCGATCGGAGCTGCGCAAAGGCAGGCAGCACTGCAAGGTCGTGCCAGCCTGTGGCGTCTTCGCCCACGCGCCCATCGCTGTAGCGTGGCGACCGTGGGTGAAGCAAGCCCTGTTGCCACTGGAAGAAGAGCGTGTTCACTGCCGACAGCGTGATGTTGGTGTCTGCGCCCACGCGAGCGAAGCTTGCCCACTTGTCGATGGCGATGCTGTTTAAGGCGCTGTTCAAGGCGACAAGGTCGTCGACGTCGCCGGCCTCCTTCACGTTCACGTGCAACAGCGGTGTAGCAAATAGGTCATGCACGCGATATGGCTCAGCTCGCTCCGTGCTCCAAGCGGGGTGGAAGGCTCTGCAAGCAGCAGAGCTGCGAAGCGGGCGCGTGTCCACGGCAGCGATGCTGTCACCATCATCATCAACCATACTGTGCTTGCTATCGTCGCTGACGAGTCGCAGCGCGAGAGCGATGCGTTCCTGCCTGGATGTGGCGGCTGTCCACTGCTGCTCCAGCCGCGTGCAGCGGTCCTTGATGAGGGCAAACTCGGCTTCCCCCAGCTGGTACTTGATGAAACCGTAGTACTTGCGCAACAGGGCAGCGTAGTGCTGTTGCTGTTGCTGCTGCTGTTGCTGCTGCTGCTGCTGCTTCAATGGTGAAGGAGAGAGTGTATGTTCCTCACTGCGCTTGGCTGCGACTGAGCTGTCGTCGGCGACATGCCCATGTGCTCGTTGGTGCCCAGAGGCGTTGCTCCCACGGCCTGCACGGCCATCGTCGCCATCCTCCTCATGTTCACGGGCTTCCTGCGCGACGAGCGCAGCGATTGTGGCTGCACGAAGCATGTGCCAGGGCTGAACGAGCTGGAAGTGGAGATCGGCCACCTGGGCCCAAATGCTGGCGTCCATTGGCTGCTGGACGAGCGCCATGGACAGGTACGCGTTGACAACGGCGCCCACGTCCTTGGAGGGCGCGTCTGCAAAGTCGCGATGCAGCTGCTGTGCCCGCTTCACCAACTCCGCAGCGCTGAACTGCATCAAGCGCGCAGACACCTGGCTGTGCCCCATTGTCTCTCCAGCATCCACTCCACCCGCAGCCGCATGCTGCGCATCCCCACCACACGGCAGCCACACAACACCAGCCACCACCACACCCACCACCACCACCAGTGGTAGCGCTGCCCTTCGCATTGTGTGGAATGCCCGCAAGCGACACACCGCCGTGGTCGCCACCAGTTGGAGAAGGCAGGAAGCAGAAGAAAGCACAAGACAGCAAGGCCCCGTTGCATAGCACGTTCTGTTGCTTGGTTCCTCTGGTGTGTTGTTTTGGGAACTGGATGATGACGACATTCGACTTGTTGCTTGCATTCGTTTAATCGCGTTGAGTGTTGTGTTGTGTGGCATGTGTGTGTGTGTGTGTGTGTGTGTGTGTGTGTGTGTAGGTGTGTGTGTGTGTGTGTGTGTGTGTGTGTGTGTGTGTGTGTGTATGTGTGTGTGTGTGTGGACGACTGAGTAATAAACGATTACGTAGTGATGGCGTGAAGAGAGTATTACAGTGAGAAAGA